TGTGACCCTTTACCAATTTCTCTCTTTCCCCCCTCCCCCTTCCCCTTTCCCACCACTGGCAACCTCAGTTCTGTTCTCATCTCTTAAAAAGTTCAACAAATTATTGTGATTGTTGTTATCTTTTTTTTGGGGGGGGGGGGTTTTTTTTTTTTTTTTCTTTTTTTTTTTTATTAGCTCCCACGTATTAGTGAGAATATGCAGTGTTTCTTTTTCTGTGCCTGGCTCATTTCACTTAACATAATTTTCTCTAAGTTCATCCATGTTGCTGCGAATGGCAGGATTTCATTCTTTTTTATAGCAGAGTAGTATTCTGTCGTATAAATTGGCCACATTTTCCTTATCCACTCGTGATGGGCTTTTAGGCTGGTTCCAACTCTTGGCTATTGTAAATAGAGCTACAATAAACATAGAAGTACAGGTGTCCCTTTGACATGATGATTTCCTTTCCTTTGGGTATATATCCAGCAATGGGAATGCAGGATCATATGGCAGTTCTGTCTGTAGTTTGAGGAACTTCCATACCATTTTCCATAATGGCAGCACCATTTTACAGTTCCACCAACAGTGTAGGAGGGTTCCCCTTTCTCCGCATCCTTGCCAGCATTTGTTATTCTCAATCTTTTTGATAATAGCCAGCCTAACTGGAGTGAGATGATATCTCAGTGTGGCTTTGATTTGCATTTCCTGGATGCTGAGTGACGTTGAGCATTTTTTCATGTGTCTGTTGGCCACTCTTATGTCTTCCTTTGAGAAGTGCCTATTCAGCTCCTTTGCCCATTTCTTAATTGGATTACTTGTTTTTTTACTGTTGAGTTCCTTGTATATTCTGGATATTAATCCTTTGTTGGATACATATTTTGCAAATATTTTCCAAAAAACAACCAAACTCTGTTGGTTGTCTTTTCATTCTGTTAATTGTTTCTTTTGCTGTGCAGAAGCTTTTTAGTTTGAAATAATCCCACTTGTTTATTTTTCCTTTTGTTGCCTGAGCTTTTGTGGTCATATTCATAAAGTCTGTGCCCAGACCTAATTTCTGAAGTGTTTCCCCTATGTTTTCTTTTAGCAGTTTTATAGTTTCAGGACATATATTTAATTCTTTAATCGAGTTTGAATTGATTTTGGTATATGGCAAGAGGTATGGGTCTAGTTTCATTCTTCTCCATATGGATGTCCAGTTTTCCCAGCACCATTTATCAAAGAGGCAGTCTTTTCCCCAGTGTATTTTCTTGGTTCCTTTGTTGAAGATCATATGGCTGTAGGTACATGGGCTGATTTCTGGGTTCTCTAGTCTGTTCCTTTGGTCCATGTCTGTTTTTATGCCAGTACTATGCTATTTTGGTTACTATAGCTTTGTAGTATAATTTGAAATCAGGCAGTGCTTGATAAATGATTTCAGCAAAGTTGCAGGATACAAAATCAACACGCAAAAATCAGTAGCATTTTTAAACTCCAACTATGAACTAGCAGAAAAAGAAATCAAGAAAACTAGCCCATTTACAAGTCACCAAAAAATAAAATATCTAGGAATAAAGGTAACCAAGGATCTGAACAATCTCTACAATGAGAACTACAAATCACTGTTAAGAGAAATTAAACAGGACACAAAAGAAGGGAAAGATATTCCATGCTCGTGGATTGGAAGAATTAACATTATGAAAATGTCCATACTACCCAAAGTGATCTACAGATTCAACGCAATCTCCATCAAAATACCAATGACGTTCTTCACAGAAACAGAAAAAAGAATCCTAACATTCATATGGAACAAGAAAAGGCCCCAAATAGCCAAAGCAATCCTGAGCAAAGCTGAGTTTTTAAAAAAAGTGACATTGTAAAAATTTTAAGTATATTTAAGGAATTGATAAAAAGAAATCCACAGGTTGCTAAGGAAAAAAAAAATCAAAGAAACCTGTAGTTTTTCTGCTTCTTAATAAGAGCATAAAATCCACCTGGGAAAGTGAATGGCTCTCTGGGAGCTGCAGACACTGGCGGTCTTTGTGTCCTTGAGCTCTAGGAACAGCCAGTGGTCACCTGGCTATCGCTTTGGCCACGTCTGCTGGAACCTTGTGGCTTGCACTATAGCACTCAGAGGCCAGACTGTTTGGGACATTTCTTCCTCTGTGTGTTTCTCTCAATCAGAAAAATGCTGATTCTTCAGTCCTGTTTTTTCCTTCCAGGTTTGTGAAATTTTTCTGCACTTCAAAAGGATTTTTTAAAAATATCAATTTAATAAACAGTTATCCAGCCCTTACTGTGTGCCATGCACTATGTTAATTACCAAAGCAAGGGGCAAAGGTGATGATTCTCTCAACCTTTTTGTTTCCATGCTGCCCTTCTGTGGGGCTGGGGCTGCCTTACTAATTCTTTTTTGCTCAGTGGAAATTCTTTACACCTCCTTCACCCTCTGTAGATGGAGCCCCAAATATGGCTATTAGCTTACAGCAAATTTTAAAAATGTTATATAAGGTATGTTAAGCTTACTATTTAAAAGAATCATTGAATGCTTATGGAAACAAATGTTACCTTTAAGAGATAAGCTGTGTATGGTAAGGTTAATTTACTTCTATGACAAAAACTAGTAAAAGACGCTGTGGAAAGTGCCTTAAACGGCTGATAGGAGAGCCAGATCTAGTACCAGAAAGGTGATGTCTCTGAGACAGGCACTGAAGGTGAGTTTGTCCGGGCCTTACTCTGCTCAGCTGCAAAATTATCTGCTGTAGAATGAGACGAATGATTAAAACAAAATCACATCTGATATTTGCAAGATTCTGGTGAATCACTTGTCCCATAAACACACGTGAGGTGAAAATGATTCTTGCCCCCAAGCTTGAGGGAAGACAAATAATTACATACATGGAAATCACAGTTCTAATAAACACCAAGTTGAATAATGAATAAATTATCTTATTATAAAGTAGGATAACTATTATCTAGTGTGGCTTTTAAATTAAACAGTATTTCTACTTTTCAACTATTATATTCATGAGATTTTAAAAAGCTTGAAGACAATTAGCATATAGCATGATTTTTGTGTGTTTATTTGTAAATGATAAGTGAAATCAATATGGTTAGAATCTAGCTACAGTATAGACTTAAAAATTATGTGTAGAACCATGTGCACAATAGGGAAAAGAAAAAAATGTAAAACCATAAAAGAAACTTATAACCTTTAGGGATTTGTTAATTCCATTTTGGGCAGTAAATTCTTAGAGAAGTGATGATAATTTTGTCTTGTATGTAAAGAAAACACAAGTAAAGCTGCTTTTAGTCTGGATTTACATTATGTCAGGTACCATTACATTACATTATGTCATATTATGTAATATATTGTTTTTCTTTCTTTGCAGACAGATGAACAAGCCATGCTAGAAGATACACTGGTTGCACTATTTGATTTGGAAAAGGTTTCCTTTTACTTCAAACCATCAGAAGAGGAGCCATTGGTTGCAAGTAAGTAGTTAAAGGTTTATAGAATATCTTTGGAATCAAAGAATTAACATTTGGTATACCTTTGATATTAATCTATTTGATATGTATTTATATTAGGAATTTAAGGGTTAAAAAGTATCCCTTTGGTTTAGCAATTTTTATCATTAAATCTGACAAAGGCAGTATCTAGAAGTTACGCATTTAGAGAAGTAGCAATACTTATGGTTTAATGTCTACATCTTTTATTTTCTGCAAGTTATCATCATTTGTCTATTATTTCGACATTGTCATAGATAGATTTAAAATGTATATATCAGTCCAAGAAAGCTTCAGCAGTTTGTTATTATTTTTCTGTGTCTCTTGTTTTCTTCATAAGTGTGAGGATCCTGTATATATAGTAGAAGATGTAAACTTCAAGGCCAGGAAGAGTCTTACTTTTCACATTCCCAATGTCTGGTACTGTCTGGAGACTCATTAAATGTTCATTTAATCCATGATCTGACTTAAGAATGATACTCTTTAATTCACTCGTCAAAAATTTCTTAAATGACTTCTTCTTGCCAAGACTATTCTAGGTTTTGAAGTCAGTAGAGAACTAAACAAACTAGTATCTCTCATGGGGCTTATATTCAAGTAGGGAGAGATAAATAATAAGCAAGATACACAAGTTAATTTTATAATGAATTAGAAGGTAATAATATTCATGATATATGAAGAGAAATAAAAGAAAGCAAAGAATAAAAATGAAGGGGCAAGTGAAATGTTTGCAAATAAGAGGGGAGGGAGGGAAGCCTTAGTAAGGAGAGCAGAGCTCTGACGGGGGTTGAGGGAGCGAGTCATGCAGAGCTTGGGAAAGGGGTGTCCCAGACGCAGTTGGACTCTGGGGTGCGAGCACGTGTAGCATGCTCTCAGGATGGCAAGTAGGTCTGCGTGGCTGGAGCAGAGGGAGTGAAGGGGACAGATAGAAAGATGAAAGCCATACAGGGCTTGCCCACTACTGAGAAAGCTTTGCCTTCCTAACCACGTCCTGGAGCCTGCGAATGTGGGGATCTGGTTTACATATGAAAAGGCTGCCTGTGACTGCTTTGTGGATTAGGCTGTTCTGGGAGCAAGAGCAGAAGCCTAGACACGGTTAGGAAGATACTGAATGACCCAGGTGAGAGATGAAGGTGACTTGGCCTTGAAGGTAGCTTTGGATGTGGGGGAAAAAAAATGTTGATGCTGCTTATATTAACTTAAAAGGTAGAGAGAACAGAAATTTGTTAAAGTTTCATTTCTACTGATGAATGAGAAAGAGAACTAGAACATGAAGTACAATGTTAGAAATTTAAAGTTATACTCATAGGAGAATTTTCTTGGCAGAGGGTATTATTCGATAAGGGTGATAGTGTTTGAACAAATTGTGCAGTCTACTGTGGATATGTCTGCAATAGGATATATTTTCATTTACTTGAATAATGTTGGCACAGTTTTGCTGAAGGCAGAAAGAATTCTATTTTCGTGATATAACCCAATGTTTTTTAAAGTTTTGCCTGAGGAACTATAAGTTCACAGTAGTATTGTTTTTTATAGTTCCAACATGACATTATTGGCAAGTGGTTTTTTGAGCAAGTAGAAGAACCAATATCATAAGCTTGATAAAATATTGTTGCATATCCACTGAGAAAGATTTAACTTGGGCATATTGTAACACATACCAAATGTTAAAGATAATGGAGACCATGTAAGTAATAGTAGTATGTAAATGTAGATGTACCTGGGGCAAACACAAAAATTGTGATAGACATTTAGCGGTACATTTTCATGTATTTCTTTGCAGCATAACCTCAACTTTTGAAAATAATTCTCTAGTGAAGGACCAGTTCCAATCCTTTGTT